GTGTCAATTTGATATGCAAATGTGTGTTATATTTTCCGAGATTAAACTATATCGCATATACAATGTAACAATGGCTATGAACTGAAAATTGTCGAAGAATGTATTTTTCACGACTACTGCATATCACCGCGAATATCGCGTTTCACACTTCACCGAATATCAACGATTATATGCAACAACGATTACAACGAGAGAATATCCGATTGATACACAAAACGTGCATAAAACGAAAAAACGATGGAAAAAAATCCCAAATTTTCCCATATTTTTCGATTTTTTCCTATTCTAAATAAAATTTTCCTCTCGAAAACTGAAAATTTCCCTCACGATGCATATCATTTTTCAAACATTTTCTTCACAAATAGAAATCATTGCAGAAAAAATTTTCCGGAAAAAATGCCAGAAAACCGCGAAAGTCAGTGTGGGAATATATGTAAATGGTCAGCTACATGTGTTGCTAAAAACATGAAAATTTTGAGGAAATTTTGCCGAATTATCGTTGATTTCTGTATACTTATACCCAAAATCGTGTGATTTTTCATAATGTAGTGAAGAAACCAAATATATATTCCCATACTGATGAAGGTCCTGTACAAATAATATACACCAAATCGATCAACCGGCTCGAACACTTTTATGGGGAAGGAAATATTCAGTGACCGCGCGCCACGAAATTCAAACCAACACAGAGCCGGAATATGCCACGAAAATACTACCAACAAAATCATTGATATATCACAAAAAATTATTTATAAATACACACATTTTTTTCGCAATTAGTAAAAAATTTTTTTCCAAAACGAATAAGATTCCTGTCGAGATATTCCTAGAAAAACAACTATTTCAAAAATTCGAATTTTCGAAAAAATTCGCAGTGATCAACACCAACTTTATACACTGGAGCTTCACAACCCGTTTTACGTGAAGTGGCGTAATACTCTGTGAAAAACGCGATTTTCGCGGTGATATGCAGTAGTCGTGAAATATATTTTTCACCAGAGTTTTTTCATATCACGGCTCGTGAAACCGAAAAAAATTTTTTCACTTCTTCGTGCGAAGATTCAATACCACATTTCCGGAGAAAATACCGAACTAATGATGATGACTCGAAGACTGATTTCTATTTATCATGACCGCGCGCCACGAAATTCCCCCTCATATGACCTCATCATCCGTCCCTTGTCGGAGGAGGGCTTGCTGCTCGAGTCCTATATATATAACTGAGTATCTTGAGGTCCCAGCGGGAAGATACGGATTAGGTCCGAATATGTACTTGATCGATTTCGAGAATTATCTTAGGTCGCTCCTCGTATGGTTCAAAGTTTTAAACCCCAGTACGGGAAAATATGCATATGGTCAACGAAATTTTTGAGGAAATTTCGGAAAATTTTCATTCGTTTCTGAACACTTCTACCACACTTCCATGGAAACTCCTGAGGAAAGCGAACACTTAACACTGCTAAACTTATATAAACGTCTCTTCAGACGTTTTTGAAAAAACGTCTGAGGAAACAGAGAACCCCCACGCTGTGTTTGGAAACAGAATTATACACGTTCGACGTGGTATATTATACGAGTCACAAGTTAAACGTTAACCATCAACAAATAAACGCTGTTCTCTGTTTTCGAATCTATGAAAGTCTTTCATGGCAGATTTGTTAATTGCACTGCACTGTTCACCATTACGGTGCAGCTGTAACTGTGATGCTCCCCCATGCTGGCCTCGACCGCGCGCCGCGAAATACGTGACGCGTAGACGGGAAATTTCTCGCGCGCCACGAAATTCCCCGCAGGTCTCCGGCTTGCTTTCCAAGAATTTTCATCACCAAATTCGTATCTTAGGTCGCTGTTGGTAAGATTCAGATGAGGTCCGCAGTATCATAAAATCTTCCATTCGATTAAATGTATGAAATCTCATAAGAATATGGAAAATATATTTCACCACGACTACTGCATATCACCGCGAATATCGCGTTTTTCACGGAGTTTTACACCACTTCACGTAAAACGGGTTGTGAAACTCCCTTATCCTCATTTTCTGAATTTTATATACAAAAGACTTTTCTCGGCTAATCGCGCGGATGTGCTTATGACGAAATGAATTTTCTTAAATTTACGGAAAACTTTCTCCGGAATTTTACACTCGTGGGAAAACGTTCACGTGGGATTTTTTTTTCTGCCATGTGGAAAATTACCTGGTTTATGGTTGCATATAAATGATGATCAATTTTCAGCGATTCGATTTCTTTTTTTTCATCTAACTTTTCGGTGACCATTCCTACTAAACTAGGATAATGCTTATCAAGCCAGTCATACGCTCCATCGACACTGCCGAAGTTCGAGCCTCCTCAGAGGGCGAAGACTCCCCTTCCCTTAACGAGGGCCTCGCAAGTACTGGCATAGTATTTCATCGTCACCAGCTCAAACGGATGGCGGCGGTGCCAAGTCCTGGAGGTACCTCTTCCGCACAGGTTCGAATCCGTGTTGGAGTAATATGTGTTTGTTTGCCTCCGAAAAAATTAAAATTTTTTTGACCATGTGCATATTTTCTCCCACACTGTGTGTGTGATTCGAAGATTTGTTATTTCAGCACTCAAGGACATCACTAACACTGGGTCTGCCGAAAATGAAGATTGTGACAATCATGAAGAAACTCTGCGGGTCCTTCGCCCTGAGCCGAAGAAAATCGTCGGAGAGAATTCCCCCGATTCGATGCAGAGCAACTCGAGAATTTACGAAGAGTCTGAATCTAAAGACTACAGCGCTTTCCAACAGTACCTTGATATCGGGCGGAGGTCTACTACTACTAGCGGTCCTACTGGGGAAGAGGGACTGTTCATGTTCGAGGGGCAGAGCTGCTATGAAGAAGTAGTAAAGTCGGGCGAAATTATCAATGCAGTGTGAGAAAATATGTGCATGTTTACTTCTGAGAAAATTTACAGAAATTTTTATTGTTTTATTTGTACTTTTGGACGAGCTCTTAGAACTAGCGATAAAACTCCTGAGCTCCGCTGATGAAGAAAGCGAATTTATATCAACACTGCTTGAATTTATCGAAATGAGCCTTTGAAAATTTCTGTATATAATAAAATTTCAGGTCGTAGGAAATTTACTATAGGCGACTTCTCAAAAATTTTCCGAAGATTTTTTTTCTTGCCGGCTGGTTCGCGAGTAAGCAACGAATATGAGGGAAATTATGAGAGTGTGTTGTAAGAATTTGTGAAAAAAATGAAAATGTGATTTTTTCACGCACGATTATATCTAATTTCAAAGTATTACTGCATTATAGGGGAGAATTTTTTGTCATTTTTGCGCATTTTTGTCCTTGACCGTTGTGGAAGTATTTTCCCTTTTGCAGACTTTAACGATGGTTTACACTAGAGGCCTTGCAAAGTCATTCTGGCTTAAATGGGTTGTTGATTTAGAAGTGAAATATATCTTTTGTTTTTCTCAGCTGAGCTCAGGATTATAAAATTGGGATAGGAATTTACAGAATTTCCCAAAATTTTCACGGAATTTTCATATTTTCACCAGAATGTGTAGTTGACCATGTGCATATTTTAGAATGAACAATTTTCTGGGCATTGTAGTAATCTGGTGGGATAAAATTTTTCAGGGAAGAAAATAATGCACTTGTAAAATGGTAAAGTATGCATCCACTGCGGGAAAGTTTTATGAACTCAGTCTTCAGGGCACTATAAAAATGGCGATGCGTGCGCCAATTCAACCTCCATATTATTAGTAATGTTTTGATATTACGGTCCGTGAGTGATTTTATATATCATTTCACATCTGAATATTATTTCATTTATTAATATTTCATTTCATTATTTCAATATTTTTTATTATCATTTCATCGCGTTAATATAGTCTCAGAAAGTATATTTGGTGACTCATTGCGAAGTTATATAATATATGCTTCACAGTTGATGAAATATCGAGGTATTTTTTTTATCTCAGGTCGTCATTTGCACTATCCCGTTTGGTGTTGTTGTGGGAGCTCCTCGATCATCAGCATCGTTATTATCAACATTTTATATCGTTAAATTCAGTGGGGAAGTGGCCGCGCCGGGGTTCATCGAGTTCGGTCAGGCGGGAATACTCTCTACTGTCAAGCTGGCCGAGTGAGCCAGCTTAGTATTGATAGCCTTGGAAGATTTTTTCAGTTGCCTTTCGCCGGCTATTCAGTGTGCGTTTCCTATCGTGGAGGAGAGGACGATGCGATTCGTGGGAATATTGGGATTGAATAAAGGAAATAAGTAGATAGTAAATTTGTGAGAATCTTGGTAATGATTTTTTTCAGAAAACCGTCGTTGAATTTCCTGAGTATGTGTCCGTCATTTTCAATACCGCCGATGTTAAATGTTGACGGTGTGGTATACCCGACGGAGCGTTCTGAGATGGGCACTATCCAGATGCGTGAGAATTTGCGCATGCGTGCATACCATAATTTGGTTACCACATTGTATTGCTCTACTCAGTGCCACCATGGGACGATCCTCGCCAGGCAAGCGTCTCTGTTTTTAAAGTGTCTTCTAAGGAAGCCATGTTTTGTGGCGCAGTACGGAGTTGCCGGAAATTTTCTCCCCTATTTGGTGAGCGGTTATTATGTCTGTAATTTCGTGGCGCGTGACGGAATTCTCAGGCCGACTCCCCTCGGGATTTATCCCCACACAACCTGAGCGAATAACCTTCTGGGCTTTCATCGGTTCTAAGATGTCCTCGCCCGATAGAAATCGTCGAGGAGGAGTGTCCACCCTGACTGCGGTTGAATCAACCGCTACCGGCTTTCGAGAGAGTCTCGCAGTAGGAATATTTGGTGGAGAAAATATCTTTCCATGCGCATGCGTGCTGATTAGATGTCGGTGAGGGCCGTTGCTTCCATTACTCCTATGACGGGTGAGATAACAATTTGTGATCTTGTGAGGGATGAGAACACATCTCCATTAGACCCCAATGAGGTGACGATGTGACGATGGTGTGGTATGATAATTGTCATTTTCAGGCGACAACTGTGTTGTTGTCGGGCGCGCGCTATCGTTTAGAGTAGTAATGATGCTGATAATTATTATTATAGTAGTTAGGAGTAGTGCAATAAAGGAAGCAACGCTCTGTCATTATTACTCGATTTCACCGATCACCGTTGTTCGACTTTTGTATGTAACTGACGAGTAGCAATAACGTCGTCAGAATTCATTTCGGCTATTATCACATTTGCCTTAATACATTATATTATACAACAAGACGATTAACAATAGATTCCCATTATCTCGCGTGCTAGCCGTAATTGCCATAATTGTTGCCTATTTGTTAAACGCGCCACAGTGGTTACTTTAGTCGGGAATGTTACTCGCTTGCGGGTTCTGTAATTGGACCCCTGATGAATTACCATGAAAATCCACAGATGAGTGGTAATAATATGAAGTATGATATCAACTATTGCTCGTCGTGCTAATGCCCATCATTAATTCAATAAACACACTCCTTGCTTTGAGTTCTAAGGAATCAGTTTGGACTACTGCTACCTTAACGAGCAAATACAGCGAGCTCTATAGGGTGTAGAGAGATAACTATAGTTCAATGATTCTTATAATAAGGATCTTATAACAGATTAATTCGAATCTACGAGAAGTACGTGCATGAACTGTATATGAATTGAGGCACCTCCATACACATACATTCGGAGATGGAACCTTTCTAGCGATGCCGATATCCACCAAATCTGACAAGTGCTCAGTGCCAGAGGCGCTAGGAGTGTAGTCTCGAGTATTTCTCCCTCCATCCACCTGCCCAGGTGGTGTCCGCATGGGTCAGGCAGCTCCATAGCAGTTCGGAGAGACAGAGAATCATTGCTCAATTCGAATGGGATGTACCACTATGTGGTGGGCAACATAACGGACACGTTTGGAAGGTGTAGCAGTTCTCGCGATGATATTGGTGTAATAATGGTCATATACGTCCCATGGGGATTTCAGGAGTGGTAGTACCGTTGTGGTACTTTTCATCGAACTCTCCTGCTCTTTGGAAAGTATTGGAGGCGGTCGTCTTGTATGAATGTACTGTCTTATCGAGTCGCCTAATACAGATGATCACCCCTTCGACACTTGATGCTGCTTTGTGATGCGAGTCGCTGTATCACTAGTCCGCCTCCAGCACAAATATCAAATTAAACCTTCGCAAAATGCTCGGGGGAATGCGATTCATTTCGATGTGACTCAACATACAAATGATCGAGAAGTTAATCCCCATCACTCGATTGCACAGTACTTCATCGTTTTGAAGCGATGCACCCATCACTAACACACAACAACGCCTACTGATACCAACGGCATTCATGGAGACTTCTGCATCATGTGTGGCAACACACCATCATTATTCTTAATAGTTTCATCTGCACCATTAGCGATAAGGAACTCCGCCAAAGTGGTGTAATTGAATCTAATCATGACTTCCATCAGGTCATGATCACTCACTCACTGATAGCAGATGTGTAGAGCAGTATTGCCCTTCTCATTCTTGGCATTTATGTTGACATCACAGCCTAGAAGATATTTGGCGATCCTCCTGTTGTTGTTTTGACAAGCTATCATTAATAACGTGTTCGGTTGTTGGGCCTCCACTTCTGACGGAGAGCAGCGCTTGTGAGCATACAGTGTTGGAAAATATGTTTGGTTTTCATAGGCTATGAATCATAGCTGAGCCCAGGAGTTTCCAGAGCTAATCATAGAATTTGGGTATTTCATATTGTCACCAACTCGTTCTTTCACACTGGAGCAACAAGTGTACATATTTACTAGTCAAAACGATGGGTCGAGTTACTTTCAATGAGGCTTCGGTCCTCTTCCAGCAGCGACTCCATAGCTTCGTAACGATTATGACGTACCTTTACATACGCCCATCAGTGAGAAGGTGTACAACAGTATTGGGAAATATGTTAGTTTTCCTCAGCTGAGCTCAAGAGTTCCTAAAGCTCCTTATAGAATTCGGGTAGAAGTGCGAAACAGAAATCAATAAGAATCTCCCAAAATCTTCTCAATGTCACCATCACGTGCATATTCCGAGTACTGACTCACACAGGACATGAGGACTTCTACTCCTCTGTTCTCCAACGCGTCCTCTACGTCTTCCAACGCCTAAGAACACCACATCGTCCCTTCCTAACACACTGTCGTGTTCGCACTCTCGAGGTCGTATCGTTATGATCTCTTTCCGTTATCGTCTGAGTGCGCAGGCGTGTATCCATTATAAGGGATGGATCGGGCTGGACAAGGCGCCCTCTGTTGGGCCGGAGGTGGCGATCCGAGTCCAAGCAAGAATATGCTCTCGTTGGCAATCTTATATAAGCATCGCCGATCTCTGTTGAAATGAATAACCCTAGTGTAACGGGATCACGCACGCCTTCCAGTGTATAGATGTCCTGTATGTCAGAACCCTGTATGTCTCTTGCGTTCGCGTATGGAGGTTAGCGAGAGCTATACAGTGCGTGTCAACTTGATGTGTGTTATTTTTTCCGAGATTAAACTATATCACATATACAATGTAACAATGGCTATGAACATATGTTGTGATGAAAGTACCCGATTGGGACTGTGATGATAGCGACAACTTGTTCACTATAATTTGTCCTACAAAATAACACACATTTGCATCGATCAAATTCACACCTTTTCTTATGTGTCATCAAGAACTACGTCAATTACCTACTTCTCTCCACCGTATAATTATCTATATCATTGAAGCACTCCCCCTCAGAGGACAAGCCGTCTGCCCCTACACAAAAGCCTTCCTTTTTCATCAGCCTGTCCCAACGCTCACCAGCAGGACTCTTTCCTCTCGGCAAAAGATCGATCATAGGAGCGTCCGGTTTCACAGTCTTGCGACCTTATACACCAAGATGGTCAAAGGAAGAATTTTTTCATCTCAAACCTCGCGTAGACTTTTTCGCGTCAGTCAAAAAACTGCCGAGGGCTGTATCATCACCACTGGCCGGATGCGGTATGACTATCAGACTGAGGAAATGCAAGATTGCAAGATTTCAAGATACACCATCTTTCACTGTTTCTGGTCAAGAGCTGGCGGCGGTAGGCGACCTGGGATTGCCGAGACTGATGGGATCTGATGAATTTGGAAATCCCCTCGTATGAACTCACACGAGAAAATATGCACATTGTAAACTGCATGTATCGGTGATAATACGGAAATTGTGACGAAATTTCTATTGGTTTCCGTACACTTCTACCTATGATCAGTTGGGAAACTCTGAGAGCGGATATACATGTCTCCAACACTGACCTGTTGTTTAATACGAGTGGCAATCTTATCTACTAGGCAGTCATCGTCTAGTAGCAACTGCACGAAGGCGTCCTTTACAGCCATCGCGATTTCCGACCGTTCCTCTATAGAAAGAACCGAATGGTTAGGGATGGAGGCACCGCCACCTCGAGAGGTCCTCTGAGGAGTACTCTCTCCTCTTAGCGATGTAGAAGTGTCATCGACACCAATGTGGTTTAAATCTAAAGTTTGAGCTCTATTGCGGGGACTCATAGACCTTTGATGTTGCCTGAGGAATCCTCCAGTACCGTTCCCGGTTGAAGTTCATCATCGCCACCACGCGGTGTGGAAATCTCATCTGTCGGGGAAAGGAATATTTCTTTCTGTGAAGAGTTATAAGGACCCCCATTTGCTTGTAGTTCCACATCGTCCCCATCTTTCTGTAGCGTTGAAGTCTTCCTATACTTTTCGGTTATCTACAATTCCGCACCGTCACGCGCCACGAAATTCAACTCTGGTGAGGGGAGTCTCACTTCGTGTCTTTGGGAAATAACCTGGGCCGCACTTTCACAACGGAAGTTCTCTTTCAGGAGGGATACCAGGAAAGTTGGGTACTCCCCCAAGAGCGGCGCCGGGCAGTTAAATCTCGCAAACGACTTGCTCTAAGGAAACGACTCGCCGGAGGCCGACTTCGGTCGACACCTTTTACATATCCGCAAATGAAGAAACAAAAAAGGAAGTCTTCTTTCACGGAAAAAAATTTTTTTCGTACACCGCTGAAATGTGTCAACACTAAAATCTTATTTGAACTCTCATCCCGTGAAAAACTCTTTCCATCTAAATAGAATCAATTTTTATTTTCTTTATATGTTCTTCCATTTGCTGAATTTGAGATTTTTTCCATTTTGAGTTTCAGGATGGAGTCAGTGGGAATGCCGTAGGAGGTTAGAATTGCTCTCCAAGCGTTAGCAGTATTCACTTCAGGTCTACAAGGCGTACTTATATCGGTACTCCAGTGTTGGAATATATGTTCGCTTTCCTCATCTGAGCTAAGGAGTTTCCTCACTGATTATAGGAGTTCACATATGAATTCGGGCAGAACTGTACGGAAACCAATAAGAATCGCCTTCAATTTCCTCCCAGAATTCCCAAATTGTCACCAACACATGTAGTTGGCCATGTGCATATTCCCCCCCCCACACTGCTGCTACTCTCATATTGTGATGGTCACAAGTATATGTTCACAATCTATTGCTGTTGTCATCAACTATATATTCGTATCTAACCTCTAGTGAATATAAAATAAGTTACGAAAATTTATACTATCGCTATTGAAACAGCGCACAGGGAAGAATTCACTTCCACCGGGCTTCCCATACAGGAGCCCACCGTTTTTGGTGTCAATCTGTCCTCGATCTGTTCCATCAACCTCGTTGCAGCACCGTCATCATTCATCTCAATAGTCTTCGGCTGGCCATACCTACCGTAACTCTCCCACTTTCCTCGACCGGACCCTCGGCGCCTCACAACACGTTAGCGTCGATGCTCTGCAAGAGCTCCTCATGCACCAACTTGTCGATGTCCATGCCTCTATCTTTCTCCCATATATCGTCCCTCTCAGGAGCTAGCGTTACCTCCAGTTTGTTGGGAGGAACTATGCAGCAATACGGAATTGTTGAGTACTTCGCTAGGTTCACCGTAGCCGTCTGGATCCTGTTCGAATTGTTGTGGTAGAGGACTGGGCGCACTGATAGGCGCTGTTGGTTGTAAAGGCACCTTTCACATTGACAGTTACGGATGTCAGGAGGATGAAGTTTCGAGTTTGCGGTATGGAAAAATATCTATGATATTGGACTTTCACGAGCCGTGATATGCAAAACACTAGTGAGAAACATATCTCACGACTACTGCATATCACCGCGAATATCGCGTTTTTCGCTGAGTATTACGCCACTTCACCCGATAAGCATTCAACCTCAAACTTGCTATCGCTTTCACCTTGGATTGCTCCACAACTTGGATATATCTCAAATTTCATACAGCGTTTCAATTTCATCATCATCTACGCATCTTCATTTTGATGGGATGAAAGCTCAGACAATACGCCTCTACTATTACTAGTAGTAGAGGCGTTACATACCCGTTATACGTGTTATATACTCCCGCGTGGAAAGCTGCCAGCCAGAGTTTATCGCACTATTTCGTACAAATTTGACACCCGTGTACTCTATGGCAATGATAGGACGATAAAGATGGCTCTCCTCCTACATCGAAATCAGGGAGTTGCCTCTCGGGAATGTTCTCAACGTTGTAAAGGACGGCAGGACCGATGGTGTCCGGGAAATACTCCAGGGGAGGTACTGTGATGGGCTGAATGTCAACCTGGAGGGGGAGGGAGGAAGTGAAATGGGATGGTAATTTAGTGACCATCTTTTGGGGGGGCATAGCGGGGAGATCTTCAGCAGCGTTTAGTGGGGGAGGCGGGTCGGGGTGGATCTGGAGGGAAATCGATCACGCGATCGATTTGAGGATGCTACTGTATAACCGAGAAGAGGCTCCTCATCAAAGTCAAGTGGAATGTCTATCGAAGATACTCCTAAGAGGAGAAATGTCGCCCCGACCGGGGATCGAACCCGCGACCTCACCGTCTGTCTGGGCAGCGATAACTTCGTCAAGTTCATCTACGGGTGGCTCGTATTCAACAGATACAGTGATTGCTGGGAGCACTACGCTCGAGGAATCTGCATAAAAATATAATCGATCACGCGATCGATTTGCATCCATTAACCTCTACTGTCCTCCTCAAGAGTCTGCAAGTCAGGCGGGGTAGCAGAAAATACCTTCCATAAGAAACACTATCGACCACCAAAAAATATAATAACCCTCCAGTTGGCACTAGTGCAAATCTAGTGAATAAATTACACGGGTAAAATCGTTGCTACAACGGAGAAGGAAAAACAACACAACTTACCAGACGGTCGAACTCCTTCTCGTGCTCTTCGATGACCTCTAACTCTCCTCTCGAGAGCTCATTGATCTCTTCCACGAGATCCCATGCCTCCCCATCGGTGGGCCTGTCAGCTCCCATCACACCTAACCATTCGCAGAGCAGCAGACATGAGGATACTCTACTACTACTAAGGGTGCCCATATAACGACGCTCTGCCACTGGTTACATTCAGTACTCTGGTTTAGAACACTTAGTAGTTGAATGTTATCAATCTGATAGTCATTGTAATTGATATCAGCCCAGTAGGCCAGGGACTATTCCTGTACAATGCCCTGCTCCTCAGGAGTTTCATAAATCCCAACTCGATCGCATTTCTAAAAGCCTCATCGTAATCGATTACCACAATTTGGTTTCAACTCAAGGAAGCTATTGCTGTCGATATGGGTGACCATCACCGTCACGCGCCACGAAATGTCCATACTCACAGTCCAGCCTCGTCTCCTCCTCCAAAGCTCGAGCCACATCGTATCCAATGGTCGCGCCGTATACAGTATCAAGACACTCCTCCAGGAACAGCGCGGGGACGTTTCTGATAGAAACACCGAGGGTGAAGTATTAAATACTATCAAAATGAGAATCCCCAATCGATTTCACGTCGCACTGCGCTCGAGTCAACCCTTCTGTAGATGATTTTTATTCTTCCCGGCCGTAAGATTCCCCCGACGAGGATGATGGATTGCGCTTGGCAGTATACAGTGCGGATCAATTTGATATGCAAATGTGTATTATTTTTTTCGAGATTAAACTATATCGCATATACAATGGCTATGAACATATGTTGTGATGAAAGTACCCGTTTGGGACTGTGATGATAGCGACAACTTGTTCACTATAATTTGCCCTACAAAATAACACACATTTGCATATCAAGTTCACACGTACTGTAAACATCTGAGCATAGAGCGATGAACTAACCTCTTCTTAAAGTCGGCTTCTTGTCTGACCATCTTCACATCTTGTAATTTCTGAGGCTTCCCTCACCACGTGAATTCAGGTAAGCCCACTCACCCGATCAGATGGATTCCTCAAGCCTCCCCCCGTATCTATTGAAATGCTCTCACTAAGCACCACCTCACAGACTTACCTGTTACTACTACATCAGTAGGGACTAGGTACCTACGACCAGCTAGCAGTGTTGGAGTAGGAATATATGTTCGCTTTCCTCAGCTGAGCTCAGGAGTTTCCTATACAGTGTTGGAGTAGGAATATATGTTCGCTTTCCTCAGCTGAGCTCAGGAGTTTCCTATACAGTGTTGGAGTAGGAATATATGTTCGCTCTCCTCAGCTGAGCTCAGGAGTTTCCTATACAGTGTTGGAGTAGGAATATATGTTCGCTTTCCTCAGATGAGCTCAGGAGGTTCCTATACAGTGTTGGAGTGGGAATATATGTTCGCTTTCCTCAGATGAGCTCAGGAGGTTCCTATACAGTGTTGGAGTAGGAATATATGTTCGCCTTCCTCAGCTGTGCTCAGGAGGTTCCTCACCATATAAGCCACGAATTCGGGTAGGAGTGTATACGAACCAATGAAAATTTTCCGAAATTTTCCGAAATTTTCTTAGAATTTCCAGATTGTCACCAACACATGTAGTTGACCATGTGCTTCCATACTCTCAACTAGCAGTACAGCGTTGATATCCAGCTGTGAGAAATTAATAAGGATCGATCCGAAATTATATCGCATAAACAATGTTAACATTGCTATGAACATGTGATGTGATAAAAGTAACCTTTCGAGACTGTGATAGCGACAAGTTGTTCACTATCATTAATCCCGGAATAAAAAACTACGCACATTCTCCACATTTGCATATCAAATTAACACGCCAACGCTACCCTTTATCACGCAGCTCTTCGTAACTAGGAAACCCTCGAGACCGCTCCGTCTCCACCAAAGGTTCAACCTAGTCACCACCAAGTGGAACTCAACGAATATGATCAAGGTAACTAGACCTCTAGTTGCCTTCCCTCTCCCGAACGTCTGCCATGTATGCACGTTAAACAGTACTGTGCATGGAGCGGATTAGAATGGCTATGAGGTTGTCTCGTTGTTTGAGGGGAAAGGAGATCTGTGAGGGGCCTCTTGCCGACTACTATACAGTGAATGTCAATATAATATGCAAATGTGTGTTATACTCTGAGGTTAAAGAGTATTAACATTGCTATGGACGTGTGATGTGATAAAAGTTATTTTTTAGACTTGTTCACTACCATTAATCCCCGAATAGAAAACGCGCATATATCAAACTAGCACACACTCTATGAATGATATTTCTCGAGAGCAGCATGCCATATTGCACGACAACCACGCCGTGGGATGAAAGAGTCTCGAGCTGATGTCGCGCGTACTCGATTGGCTATCACCATCACCAGCAGCCGCTGTGGCTACTGAGCTCTGCCGACGGGCAGTCGGGATCTGAAACGAAGCCGTTCAGTGAACAACGCCTCCAATGTTTCCATCACTGATAAAGCTCAGAATTTCTCATTATCAAAACCGAATAGATTCACCGCACCCACCGGTTGTTGCGCATCCTGATCAGCCCTGACATCCGCGCCTGGCATAGAGAAATACAATCCGACCTAGGAGTGTGAGAGAATATGAATATGCTCAGCTACATACCTTGATGATAATGAGAAAATTTTGGGAAATTTTTATTGCTTTTCGTGTACTTTTCTGAAACTTTTCGTGAAAATTTTCTGTCTCATTCACTAACACTACATAAAGCCGGCTAATTGGAAAATACACGTAACGGGATGTAACGAATCTTACAACACACCAACAAGTGGTTGGTAAGAGACATGCCGCATGTCTCAAATCAGCCTCACCAAAGGATAGATAATATCATCTTGCGCACAGCGAAGAATATCAGAATTGTCGTAGTATGACACTACTAAGATTGTAATAGTTTATACTCGATTTTCCGCCACAGGGAAATATGTTCTTCATCTCGATCGACCTTACGTTATATCATAAACTCTCACCACCGATTGTCGGCTTGGGAGTACACAGTTTTTTTTTGCCAGAAACGCGGCAGATGAAAAAAAGAGTATAGAGAAAGTACTGCGGCTACTTGATCTCGTGATCGACCTTCAAAAGTAGTCTCGAGAGGAATACAGAAATTTATGTTCAACAGCTCGACTGGTGTGTGAACGGATGGAGCATGAGGAACGCCGACGGAGCGAAACCACGTTCTCCCGTTCTGTGTACGTAGATCTCCGACCATCCTTCACCAGCGTCTAGGATTGTTACCTACAGAGATGAACTAATTTGATATTGACACTCTTAGATATAATCAGTTCCATAATGAACATTCGGGATGAGGCTCCAACTCAGAAACGGTTCTTGAATTCATTTCGACAAACCGTCTATCAAGCTTCACGGAATCCACTTTGTATGATCAGTGGAGTTAGAGCAGCACTCACTTCATCGCCGGGACGGAGAGCCACCTCAGAGGAATTGTGTCGAGCCAGGAAGTTGCCGAGTGATATGCAGAGTGGACCCTGTACACAGCCAAGATCAAAAGCAGCGACAAGGGATCGAACCGAGTACCTACCTCAGATGAACACGACGACAATCTCGCTACACCATCATTGCGTTCTCTGCACACTCTATCAGAGCTGTTAGCACTTCCCTCGAGTGACGAGCGACAACCTACTAAGGGAGAGACTCACTCAATCCATCGCTCATAGTCTTACTGCGCTCAGTCTGTCTTGTTAAAGGCGTTGCTTCCCGAGCAGTCACGACCTCACTCGCTGAGCAACCGTGCATCTGACACAAATACGTGACTCCTAGATCATAAGGAGCTTACCACTCTTTTGTTCAGAGCTGAGTGATGGGAGTTGGTGGAGGAATGGTAATCGACGAGGACGTCCATCATGGGAGGAACACAAAAAGGCTCTTCTCGAATGAAAGGCATCATCGGTGATGATACCTTTCAAAAACCAGCAAGTCCCGGGGATTCCGATGGAGAGCTTCTGCTGAGGTGAGTTCAGAATTCAGCTGACTCGAAGATGATTCCACGAAAGAGGGTGATTCAAAGTAGATGTCCGCGGTATAATAAAAACGTTTTCTCCATTCTCCATTCACCATACTCCCAACCAAACACTCAAATAGAGGAACAACGGCCCGGGTGAGAACAGATAGACAGTATCAGATCCAACATGGGGTTAAAATGGCAAAGACACTCAAGAGTAATACAAGACGCACACACAAAGGAAGGCTTCACCCCAAAGGTGTCCAATAGAGTGCGATGAGCTCACGTTGTTCACTTAGCTTCACTGAGGAGTTTCACGTCGCCCTTGAGACCAATCAATGCGGCTGCAGCACGTGCAGAAACCTGGGACAAATAATAGGGAAATGCACTATGCACCATAAGCGCCACGTGTGAGCGCAACAAAACTGTGCACAAAACACAAAGGAGCAGTTGAGCGCGCGCAATTATGATCGACGCAGTTGCGAGCTCATGCGGAGTCCGTCGGGTAGATAGGGAGTCCCTATTAGGAACCGTATCTGTACACGACCCGCCAGCCCACTAGAGATGAGTCTTTTCGCTGCGCTGATGTTGTTGCTGTCAACTTTCTCCTGTACTCGCTGCGCCTGCGTACTTTGCGCTTGCGTGCGAAGGTTAGAATTGGGTCAGCGAAAGTAATATACGCTTCTCTAAGCACGGATTTTGTTGTTGACAACTAAACCCTCACTGACTTGCGCATTGCATACAAACACTATTTTGGCGAATACTGGAGCACGAGGGATTCATTTTCGAAATGGGAATAACGTGAATGACACACACGAGATCAAATTGTGAAACTTCCATTCTTGGTGCGCCATCGAAGCTTTTTGGTGGTATTTACAGTGTATGAGCCTATTCTATGAGCATAGAAATACATGCGATCGTAGCTCTCATCGGAGCTCACCGCAGCCGTGTCCCTAGTTCTTAATACAAAGTGGTCTCGCCAATAGGTGGAAAGCGCAGTTGACGCTTCTAGTCTCCCGCAATGGGATGTCCATGAGATTAAATGCGGCTGAGCTTCCCAATAGGTCCATCAAACGGCGCTTAGCTAAGTCAGAGACATATTCCTTGCCAAGGAACTCGAGCCATCGAGTCCAAATAGTAGTGCTTGCTATCATTCCTCGCCGTCATATTCGAAACACCGGAATTCGGCGATTATGGGCATTGACCTCTGAGATCATTTCTCCCTACTATCCACTACTCATTAGCTCACACCGAAATAACATGAAGTTGAGGTGAGTAATGCTCCATAGTATTAATGTCATCAAAAAATCAGTAGCATGATCGATGCCTGTATCGGGCGAAGAAGATCCAACTAAGCTTGAAGTAATCAAGACATTTTTCCGACATGATGGGATGATCCCATCATGTGAGGTCGGAAAAATGTCTTTTCCCATTGGGATCTCACTTCTCGGATAGAAGGTGAACGCTGCAGACGTTCTAGGAACTGTTCTTACCAGGTATTCACGCTGTTTTGCTCCGCAGAAGAGGCTGAGTGTTGTAACATGTTCACATGCTCCATGATGGAAACTGTTCTCATCATGGCCGCATGGGGCGCCTCCATGCGAGGGGCTACAGAGCTCGTAGTACGAATGACTCACGTTTTATTTCTCGTTCCAACCTCGTTCTATTCGTCATGAGAAGCGTCCACATCAGACACATTATAACGGAATAGGCCACTAAGAACGGCTGAATTTCGCGCATTCCAGTCTCGCTCTGTTGCTATACAGGTACTAGTATCCATATCGGATAGAAAGTGACGGGAGTGACCGGAAATTAGGATCTGAACAAGATCTCATCGAGTAAGATATTCAATACATGAGTCATGTAACCTAACTGGCTCTACAAATACGAACTTCATACCGTCACATATCAAAATCGTATACCGGATGCGTCACACAGTTAAGTTGTAATCTCAGGAGCATCTTATTCGATCGCATGCCGATCCGATCGATACACTTGGAATCCAAGTGTAATCCAGTATAATTTGTTTATCATGGATCCAAATCTTGGATACATGATAAACAAAGACAACAAATACCATTGGGCACTCCATCTACTATGCCTGGGATCTCGCGGTAGCGGGGGAAGAGACCAAGAATTGGGACATAAGTGAAAACCTTGGGAGCTCTTCCTACAGAACATATCATACTATGCCTCAGTAACCGGGCTATATGATAGTCAGTACAGGATGAGTCATCCTAGATGACCAAAAAGATCATCATATTATCATTCACACCGACAGGCCGTTGGTGAATGTGACAGCTGTCAGCGACAGTTTCCGACATGGTTGCAACGGCGAGGTCCTCGCTGTTGCGACCATGTCGGAAACTATGACGGGACCTGATCCCGTTCATCTGGCACAGTGATAAGCACCACGAGCTTGCGACCTGTAGCATCACTATCTCGAGGACCAGTGTCGGTGGAACAGGAAGCAGCCTGCACTCAGTGCAGGCTGCACTGAGTGCAGCCAAGATGGCAACAGCGAAGACCGAAGATGGGAGATGCATGGATGTCAGACTAACACGGTGATAGTAACACCGTAATCAGAGTAGTAAAAGTTCGTCCTTGAGCTGAGCAGGGAAGCTGCCATGAACCAACGGACAACTATGAACACACTCCGGGTCTGAATCCCGATAACAAGATAGACGCAGAGCCTGACGATTATCGAAGCCTCGTATTATACGAGTCATATAACCGTGCTCCAGCAGCTGAACTTCAGACGCGGTGTCGTTGCTTGTCAACGCGACGCGATGCAACGCAATTGACGCATTGACGCATTGCGGTATCACTCCGCAATTGCGCTAAGACGGAATTTCCCCGCTGCAATTTTGCTCGGAAGCATCGTTCGCAATGCGGACGATTGTCATTTTTTGATACTATTCAAGGAATGACTCGATGTCAGCGTTTCAGGATGTCGCCGCGCGCGGAAGGGTTAGATAAGCGGTGGATGTACGAGCGCATGAAAAAATGCGTTCTTAAATCTGACTAATAATATGTTTTGGGATAATTTCGGCGATCAGCCCCTGCCGATTGAGTTACACAAGTCAAAATTCGTTTTTCGTGGAACAGTCCAGCGAATCTCAATCTAGAAAGGCCGTTCACTTCATGAACTTACAGACTCCACTGAAGTTCCTTCAGTGAAATTACTCCACTGAAGCTACTTCAGTGAGTGCAAGACTACACAAGATTATAGGGTTATGAATGAATTCCCAACTACTGGTATCAGCATAGACTGTTCTCCTGAGGGATCAGTTCTTGGTCGTCGCTTCAGAATGGATACCAGATCTGCCCAGAATCGTCTCACGTGGACGGTTGTGCAGGCTGGTATGAGTTCATGGCGTAGCTAGTAGCTACGGTGCCGCTCAGAAGCAATGTCGCACCATGTTTTGGGTGTCACGGTGTGGCGCTCGAGTATCACTCGAAATTCGATCCCAAGTCACTCAGGTACGAACTGTCTGAGTTACGTGAGACTTATCGAAAAGTGAGAGCGAGTTACCCATGCGTGGCTGAGGATGCTATAGATCAGGTTATCGCCGGGCCTATCGATGTGAGTTCATTGGACGAGAAACTGGATACGTTTATCGGGCAGCATGCCTCTTTTGATCGCTTGCTAGCGGGTGCTTGGTTACTTGCTACTGATATGATAGCTGGAAGTCACCAACATGGGCTAGAACTGGGTCGTGGTGACCTCTATCGTGATTCACGATTCGTGAATCTATTCTAGGATCAGAGTTTGGTACTCGTGGTTTCTGGTCGTGCCCTAACAAGAGCTACTGTTAGAGGTCTCCGCCCTGCCGGAAAAACCCGGCTTTTCTGTCGGTGAAGTCGTAGTAATCGTGGAGCCTCGCTTCATCAACCAATATCTTGATGATACCCGATCGACGAGTGTCATTCGTGTCGTATAGCCTTTCTTTAAGTACAATCCTTCTATACAGTTGCCTGCTATACCTATTCGTATCCAAACCTCCTCATCCGCTTATTTTCATCTACCTCGTGTTCAAATATCTCTCTCATCCTTTCGATTAAGCATTTCTTGTGGAGGTTCTCTCTGTAATCGATTGCCGCTTACTTCAGGATCTACTTACTGCGGATGCGTAGTCAAAAGCAGCAAACCAGGCTTTGTTCTTGAGGCAGACCTACGCAACAGTAATCAGGAGATCGTTGTCATTGACACATCTAGGAATCCACCTGTTAACTATCCTTTTGTTACCTTCCACGAGATTGAACTATTCACACAACAGAGATCGGTGGTTCAAAACTTCATCGATACATTGGAGAATATCGTCACTCTCGAAGAGGAGAGAAGGTTATGCTCGATCTGCTGAAAAGGTGTGTCTTTATCTCCCCAGCCTCTATTTCCCCATGGTCATCTCTACGTCGGGTCATCACATTACTCGAACGTGGGCCCATCCCCGGCATTATCTTCTTCCACTTAACCGCCGACTTCTTCTTCTGTTCCACGGGATTTCACTGAAATCATTTCAGCGCCCGCGCCAACTTCGAGGCGGCGCAAGTTGTGAATCTCGCTCGCCCTAAATTCACTAATTGAATCGGCTAGTGGTTGAGGCTTTTTGTGAAGCCTTCCTACAGCCTTTATTGAGATCTTCGGGTGATCTGTGAGGACTATCTTCTGGATAGTATCGGGAACTGTTTCTTTCGTAATCAACCGTAACACAAATAGGTCTGTTTAACAGACTCTGTTATACCATCAACTTCATGGCATCAACGCTCTAGTACATTGCGTTAAGTCTATGGAATTACGTTCTGTACTGAGTTATCTCCCTCTGTCGGTTCTGTCCGCAGAAGGAGATCTAGAAAGGAAGCTAGTGCTTTTTCTCTTTCCCCTAGTAACAGGATTCCACCACCGGCTCCTGCACATTCTTCCGCGCTCGGTTCTCCGGGAGAACTTCTCCCTGTGTAACCGTTTTGTGGAGCGAAGGGCGAGAATGTTGCATGTAGTATTATGTCATGTATTATCGCTTGAATATCCTTTACGTCCAACGTTATTCGTGGGCGACTCGGCATGTGAATAATACATAGCTAATACATAGACTCTGTTTTCTGGGAGCGCAGCGTCTTAGCCAGGCTCTGCTTGTACCTACGTTAAATGATCTACGTTGTGTCAGGAAACCAGGTAACCCGCAGTGTGCCAGTGGTATAAGAATGTTCATAAA